TTCTGTTTTATACCCGTTCTTCTTCCGGGCCTATATTAAAATGAACTTATAAATGACACTCGAAGGAAACATGTCCAATGCAGAGAATATGGCCTAGTTACTGCCATACTCACACCTTAACAGGATATCACACAAAAAAGGAACGTGAGGTCACAAATATCGGCCAAGGTTTGTTTGGTGACGCAGTCGCCAACTGCGCGGCGTTACATGTTTTCAGACGCCATTAAATATCGGAAGAAGAAAAGAAACAACTTGCTTCTAATTTTTATAAGGAGACTAGAGCAGGGCGCTCCTTTCGGAGCTCCTAGGGGGGTTGGTCAATTTTGTAAAACGCAACCAACCTTGGTTAGTCCCGAAGGGGAGTTAGATTAGTGTCTCATTCAAGTGTTTTTACCCTTGAGTAAGAAACTAAACTAACCCGCCCGAATTAAGTTACATGGATCAATTCCCCCCTCCCAAGAATTAACCTACCCATTTTTAAGGATTATTTTAATAACGTCAGAGAATTCTTCATGCGATTAAATATTATGGACCGGCCTGAAACGATTTAAAATGTTTACAAACCGGATGCAGGTTTATCTTTTTATAACAAGGATTTGTCACTTCACTTTAAGTTAAATATATGAATATCCTTTTTGCTGCTTTCAGATTAAAAAGTAAAAATATTCCTTAATAATCTTATGAATTTTCATGTATCTCAATTATTTGAATTAATTTTTTTTCCAAGGACGAGTATGGTCAAAAGCTCACCTTTCAGAAAATAATTATTTTATGTGCGCTTATGACAAAGGACGAAGGATATAACATTCTGTTAACGTCCTATTTGCCGTAGTGGATGTGCATAACGCGTTTATTTTAAAATTATTTTTTATTATTGTTATTATTATTATTAAAGAACAGAGAACCTTAGCCTACGAATTATACGAAAGCATCCCGTTGCAGATTATATAAACAATAAAACTTCTCCTTACTTTTAATCACGCAACTTGCAAGTATGTTTAACCAAAATAATTAACTATTAAAACATTAAATGTATAATGTTTCGGCCATACTAGGCATTCTCAGGTAAGTGTAGACTTAAGAAGTTAATATATAGTAATCATGCAAGATTACATATATATGTATTACAATAAAAACAAATAATGAAGAGGTTATATACATGTAAAATTTCGTTGAATGTATAAAATGTTTAAATTTGTATCTGTAGTCATCAAAGGTCATGCGATAAAAGTGGTTTACATAAACAAATACAAGAATTATGATATATGTTGTTACAGAATAATATTAACTTTAGATATAATATATTTCAGCTGTTATAATGTGTTGGCTTTTGGTTAAGGCTCCTTGCAATAGTGATGGCGGGGTTACATATTATTTGATTCGCAATGGGACTTCATGTGCCGAATTAAGCGAGAGACAAGTATGGGAATATGATAAGCTGCCTCCCGGAAAAGATTACATATATTTTTGTTACTTCAAGAAGATTCTTAAAATATGTGATAGACGCTTCGAGCAACTGAAAACTAATGTTTTAATAATAAATTGGTGTGGATACGTGGAGATTAATCACAGAGCTGCCTGGCCAAATACAGAGCCGGGCGATAGGTAGGGGCGCCGATGGTGTTATTTCCTTGTGGATCTTCGGGAGCCAATGCAGTCTAGGAGGCCTCGAACTCCGTGGCCTCAGATGTTCGATGACCTCGGGAAGCGATGGCTGCTTGAGAAGGAGAACAGTCTTCCGTCCACGGTAACCTCCCGTATATGACTCCTGAGCCAGCACTTAGACAAAAATATTTTAGGCCTTGCTCCGAAAATCTTCAGTTTCCTTCGGCCTGTGAGAATGCCTCGGGACTTAAGACTCCTGGCGTGTATAGTGCGCCCTGCGAATGCGGTAAAGTCTACATCGAGCAGACCGGCCGATCCATCGATACCAGAATCAAGGACCACCAGCACTACTTCCGTCTCGAGTATTTACACAAATCCGCCTTGGCCGATCACGGTCCAACCTGGGTCACCCATTCCACTCCAGAACACCACAATCCTTAACCACCAAATCCAAATACAAGGACCGGATGATCAGAGAGGCCATTGAGATCAAGCTAAACACAATTTCAACAACTTCATCAGCGAGGAAGCAGAGGGTGTTTGTCAATCTACATTGAAATAGTTAGCGACTGAGCACTTGCCATTGGTTGCTACCATTGGTATTAATATAAATTATTCCCAACAGATGGTGACGAGTAGTTTTACTACTAATGTGGTTAGGTGACAGCACTGTATATTGTGTCGTCATCCACCATGTCAGTGGTACCGGAATGATAGATGTTTCTTTGATTGTAGCATCGTGTAATGCTGCATCTATCTTCAGGTCAGTGACATATTAGAAACGGCTTTTAATTTTCTACCAGACTGCACCTCACTATAACTGCGCTACAACCCAGAAGACAGCCATCTTCTTACTCACCACCGTTAGAACCTCAAATCTTACATCAAGGTATCAATATGTGTGTATTCTGTGTGATTGTGTTTCTGTTCTTCTGTGGTCACGGAAGGGAAATTACTCTCCTATAATGTTGTTTGTATCCGTGGTTTACACAATGTTGGTATGACAAATAATACCAACTGTTGGTAACTACCAACGTTGGTATAAGGGTTATCGCACACTTAAGACAAACAGTCCAACGACTGTTTTGTCGTTCGCACAAAGCCCTTAGTCCAACGCTTCTCGTCAGGTATCTGGAGGCCTACCTCTGTAGACTGGAGTTCTGGCTCAGGGCCTGGAGGATTGCTATCAACGTCTCGAAGAGCACCGCGGTTCTCTTCGTTAAGACGATGACATGCATCCAAAAGCCCAGAGCAGTGCAGTTTCTCGGACAGCCGATACAATGGGTCAAAACAGTGCGGTATCTGGGAGTCACCCTTGACACCGTAAGGGCCTTGCCGTCCGGAGCTTCGGCTCATGGTAGGGTCACCCAAACCGAACAGGTCTAAGGCGATGCGCCAGACTGAGTTGGGGGTTGGACGTAAGGCTAACCCGGTGTCCTACGTGAGAGATTAAATGCGAGCGGTGCGAGTTGCGTGGGTGAAGCGAATATATCAAACTGGCTATTTGTGCGGCGCTGTCCAATGTGACAGCGAAGTGTTCGGCGACAAAAGTCCAAGATCAAATATTTTGGTTATTAAATGAATTGAATTGAATTATTGTGAAAGAACAGAGAATCTTAGCCCACGAATTATACGAAAGCATCCCGTTCCAGATTATATAAACAATAAAACTTCTCCTTACTTTTAATCACGCAACTTGCAAGTATGTTTAATCACAAAAATTAACTATTAAAACATTAAATGTATAATGTTTCGGCCACATTAGGCATTCTCAGGTAAGTATAGACTTAAGAAGTTAATATGTAGTAACCATGCAAAATTATTTATGTATTACAATAAAAACAAATTATAAAATTTTGTCGGATGTATAAAATGTTTAAATTTATATCTGTAGTCATCAAAGGTCATGCGATAAAAATGGTTTACATAAATATAATAATTATGATATATGTTGTTACAGAATAATATTAACTTTAGATATAATATATTTCAGCTGTTTCAATGTGTTGGCTTTTGGTTAGGGTTCCTTACAATAGTGATGGCGGGGTTATATATTGTTGGATTCGCAAGAGGCCTTCATGTGCCGAATTAAGCGGGAGACAAGTGTGGGAATATGATAAGCGGCCTCCCGGAAAAGTTTACATATATTTTTGTTACTTCAAGAAGATTCTTAAAATATGTAATAGACGCTTCGAGCAACTGAAACCTAATGTTTTAATAATAAATTGGTGTGGATACGTGGAGATTAATCACAGAGCTGCCTGGCCAAATACAGAGCCGGGCGATAGGTAGGGGCGCCGATGGTGTTATTTCCTTGTGGATCTTCGGGAGCCAATGCAGTCTAGGAACTCCGTGGCCTCAGATGTTCGATGACCTCGGGAAGCGATGGCTGCTTGAGAAGGAGAACAGTCTTCCGTCCACGGTAACCTCCCGTATATGACTCCTGAGCCAGCACTTAGACAAAAATATTTTAGGCCTTGCTCCGAAAATCTTCAGTTTCCTTCGGCCTGTGAGAATGCCTCGGGACTTAAGACTCCTGGCGTGTATAGTGCGCCCTGCGAATGCGGTAAAGTCTACATCGAGCAGACCGGCCGATCCCTCGATACCAGAATCAAGGACCACCAGCACTACTTCCGTCTCGAGTATTTACACAAATCCGCCTTGGCCGATCACGGTATCAACCTGGGTCACCCATTCAACTCCAGAACACCACAATCCTTATCCACCAAATCCAAATACAAGGACCGGATGATCAGAGAGGCCATTGAGATCAAGCTAAACACAATTTCAACAACTTCATCAGCGAGGAAGCAGAGGGTGTTTGTCAATCTACATTGAAATAGTTAGCGACTGAGCACTTGCCGTTGTTTTTAATATCAATTGTTCCCGACAGATGGTTACGAGTAGTTTTACTACTATTGTGGTTAGGTGACAGCACTGTAGAATGTTACGTCATCCACCATGCAGTTTTCTTTTGTTTAACACTGCGGTACCGGAATAATAGATGTCTTTTGGGTTGTAGCATCGTGTAATGCTGCTTCCACCTTCAGTTCAATGACGTATTAAAAGCGGCTTTTAATCATCTACCAGACTGCACCTCACTATATCTACGCTGCAACCCAGAAGACAGCCATCTTACATCAAGATATTAATAGCATTTCAGAAATTTATCGCATTGTATCTGCTTCATCAGTATGTATAACACCATATAAAGTTATGTAGACTTGTATTGATTATCCTTCATAGTGTTTTCGTATGTATTTATCAGTGTGGCTGTTTGCAAATCTGTCGAAATTAAAAATGCCGAAGGTATTTGGCTTGTCTTTTAATTACGTTCATGTCATGTGTACGAGATATTTTAGTATATCAAGGTTTTTATTTGTTTTCACTGCTGTATACTATGAGATGGTAGAAGTTGAGGTATACATGATATTAGTTACCGTATGTCTATTACACCATGAGTTTTTACTACGGTATACAAGCCACCTTCCACTTGTAGTACTTAAGTCTGTGAAAGGTGTAAGGTAAGCAAAGTTGCATTATCATTCGTGTTATATGGCTGTTAAGTGGAATGTTATGTTCTAAGGAGTAACTTAATTGATTGCAGTCGTTCAATCGTGATAGTATTGTTGTGTTCGTTCAGTATAAATTATTTCTAGTAATCGACATTGTTGTATGTGCTTAAATTCTCATTTGAACTGTGCGCGTATATATTACCAAACAATATGTTTCAAAATTTTGATGTGCAACTCATACCAGGAGTATTTTGAAATGGATACTGAAATGCACTGATTGTGATATTTGAAAGAGAATATGCAGTCCAGTAAAATCATGTCAACAAGCAAAAGTTATCATCAGTATTATCATTTATAACTAGATTATTTGTGGTGTATTAATGAGGCTAGAAGTGCCTCATTAGAAATTGAACCACAGCTGCCCCCGCACACTACTAACTGAACAGTTGGTGTCACTGTAACTATTTATCCTTTCATTACATGAAAAGTGGAAAGTTAAAATTCCATATTAAATGAAACAGTGGTGTAAGATTTGAGGTTTTCACAGCAGTGAATATGAAGATTTCTGTCTTCTGGGTTGTTGAGCTGTGTAGTCTGGTCGATGTTTACCAATGTTTCAGAGGTCATACTGCCTCCGCCATCAGGGTGATGAATATTCACTACACAGTGCAACAACCCAGAAGACAGAAATCTTCAAACAGTGGAAACAGTGGAGTGTGCAAAACTGGAGCAGAATCAGAGGGTTACAGTTGACAGAGTTCTCTTGCCTCTACACTTTAAAATGTAAAGAAACAAGTACTCTGTGCAACTCATACCAGGAGTATTTTGAAATGGATACTGAAATGCACTGATTGTGATATTTGAAAGAGAATATGCAGTCCAGTAAAATCATGTCAACAAGCAAAAGTTATCATCAGTATTATCATTTATAACTAGATTATTTGTGGTGTATTAATGAGGCTAGAAGTGCCTCATTAGAAATTGAACCACAGCTGCCCCCGCACACTACTAACTGAACAGTTGGTGTCACTGTAACTATTTATCCTTTCATTACATGAAAAGTGGAAAGTTAAAATTCCATATTAAATGAAACAGTGGTGTAAGATTTGAGGTTTTCACAGCAGTGAATATGAAGATTTCTGTCTTCTGGGTTGTTGAGCTGTGTAGTCTGGCCGATGTTTACCAACGTTTCAGAGGTCATACTGCCTCCGTCATCAGGGCGATGAATATTCACTACACAGCGCAACAACCCAGAAGACAGAGATCTCTAAACAGTGGAGTGTGCAAAACTGGAGCAGAATCAGAGGGTTACAGTTGACAGAGTTCTCTTGCCTCTACACTTTAAAATGTAAAGAAACAAGTACTCTGGGTGGCCATTAAAGTATCTTTGAGTCTGTTGCATAAAACAACCATACTGATATCCATCTCAAACAACAAGGCATGTAATAACTGAAACCCACAACAAAGTTAATACAAGTTTAATTAACAGCGAAGTTGCTTTGTCAAATTGTTGTGTTTGATCTCCAATTGAGTCCATGCCATATTGAATGAGTTCTACAGTTGATGCTCAGTGATTATAATGTCGTTGGCTTGAGTTATGATGCCAACTGTATCTGTACGTTACTTACAGTAAGGGAGAAGACTGAACTGGAGAATGCTTCCATAGAGTTTGTGTATAATTCTGTAACTATTTATCCTTTCATTACATGAAAAGTGGAAAGTTAAAATTCCATATTAAATGAAACAGTGGTGTAAGATTTGAGGTTTTCACAGCAGTGAATATGAAGATTTCTGTCTTCTGGGTTGTTGAGCTGTGTAGTCTGGCCGATGTTTACCAACGTTTCAGAGGTCATACTGCCTCCGTCATCCTGGAACAGAATCAGAGGGTTTCAGTTGACAGAGTTCTCTTGCCTCTGCGCTTTAAAATGTAAAGAAACAAGTACTCTGGGTGGCCATTAAAGTATCTTTGAGTCTGTTGCATAAAACAACCATACTGATATCCATCTCAAACAAGGCATGTAATAACTGAAACCCACAACAAAGTTAATACAAGTTTAATTAACAGCAAAGTTGCTTTGTCAAATTGTTGTGTTTGATCTCCAATTGAGTCCATGCCATATTGAATGAGTTCTACAGTTGAAGCTCAGTGATTATAATGTAGTTGGCTTGAGTTATGATGCCAACTGTATCTGTGCGTTACTTACAGTAACGAAGAAGACTGAACTGGAAAATGCTTCCATAGAGTTTGTGTATAATTTTTTGTCTTCATGCTTGCTATGTAAAAGAAAATAATTTTACCTGTTGGTTTGTATGGATGTGGGACTTTGCCTTCCATGTTAACGAAGAACACAGTTTGAGGGTGTTTGAGAATGAGATGAAGTGACTGAAGGGTGAAGAATATTTCTTAATGAGAAGGTCCATAATTTGTACTCTTCACCACATAATATTAGTTGATAAAATAAAGGAGTGTGAGATGAGTGGTGCATGTAGCACACATAGGAAGATGTGAAATGTGTACAAAATTTTGGTTGGGAGGGCCGATGGAAGGAGGCCACTCAGAAGACATAGATGTAAATGGGAGGATAATTTTAAAATGGATAATAATGACATAGGGTTGGAGAGTGTAGATTAGTTTCATCTGGCTCAGGATAGGGATTATTGGTGGGCTGTTGTGAAGACAGTACTGAAGTTTGAGTTTTGTGAAAGGCCAGTTGGTTAATGCTGTATAAGGAAGAATACAGAGGTACAAATTATTAAAAAAGTGATATATAATTATCATCACTCTATTTTAAAGGGTTAAGTAATTAAAGTAACAATACTTCTGTGACTTTTCAGTGCTGTTAAAACCAGTTTTTCAGGTTGTGAGTCATCATAAGATGACCTAACCTGTGATAATTTACAACATTCCAACATAACCCCAATGGTAGACAAGGGACAATCTCTGAAACATTGGATTTTAACTCCATTCTCATACAAGGCTGTCACCCAGGAACACTTCAAATCTTGAACGTTCACACACACATATATGAACTTTGTTGATGCTATGTAACCTATGAAGATGAGGAAACAATCATATCTTCTTAAGTTGTCCAAAGAATCCAGAATAATGTTACCACAGAACTTCAAGAGTTTATTGGCACGTGCTTTGGATGAAACCAGTTTTTATCTTATTTCACACCACTTTATTGTATCTGTGTCAATGCATTTATTTCTTGTGTGATCACCCACGCATTGGCAAATATTTTCCACAGAAAATTACATATCTATAGCAGTAATTGACTGTTATGTAACATTTGTGAAATTAGGGATGCAACATGCAAATGGTTATAAAAATTGAATATAAAGTTCTAAGTTAGTTATTTCCCTAGTATAATTAATTTTATTGTATTCAGTTGTCACAGATGCTTGAAATCATGCAGTGTGTATTTACCCAAATTTGCTGTTGCTTACTGCATTTATTTGTGGGCATAATGTTTATAAATTGGTTTGATGTTTATGTAAAAATTCCTAGAATAATCATTATTATTATAGGTTTACATTTATAAGCAGTTAATTTTGTGTTTCAGATGTGTGTGTATGTATTTTTAACTACAATGTTTGTGTCTGATCTTTAGCAGATTGTGACATTGCCTGAATTGACTGAATTGGACAGAGCCACAGCATTAATGACTGAGAATAGAGGAGATGGTTCAGGATCGGGGACCGAATCTGATTCAGATGACACAATACCAGAGCTTGAGGAGCCTGGAACTGGCCAGACTTCTGGTGTCTTCCCAGGAGCTACTGCAGCTGGATTGCCCATGGATATGGTCAGCAAAGCTAAGCAGAGTAGTGGTGAGAAGAAAGCCTGCAAGATTATGTCAAAGTTAGGACTGAAACCAGTAAGTCACCTTATTTAAATATAATTTAAACAATAGCATGTAATTTAAATAAATTTGCAAATAGTAAACTTTAAAAGTAATGCAAACTAATTATATATGGAAAAGTCGTACAGTTTGTTAAGTATTCCAGTTGAATGGCAAAAGTTACAGTGGCTGTTACGTAATGCCTTTTATGCATGGCATGATGTTTTCACACAGTTCAACACTGTTTTCTAACAGATTATGTACTTGTATTAGTAGGTTCATTTCAGATATTTTCACTTGTTCAGTGGAACCTAAATATAGTGCAGCTGTTGGGGGACAGCATCAGTACTCGCATTGTGAACTACCCGCATTAAAAGTGAACAGTGTAAAACATGTAATCATAGTGGAGGACATGATCAAATCCTCGGTACATCAAGATCCATGGTATAACTGCATGTATTATATTGAGGTTCCACCGTATTTATTTTTTATATTGTTGAGAAATCTGAATTCAGGGACTTGTTGAGTTTTGTTGTATTAATTTATTTTATTTTACTTTACAGTATATTTATGTTGCATCGAGTTATGATAAATGGAACGATTTTTTTTTTAGAAAATTAGCAGTAGGTGATGTACCTGTGTTCATGCTAAAGACACTCAAGTACATAGTCACTATAGTGTAACTTTGTTTAGGTTGTACCAAAGTAGAAGGGTACATTCTGCAGACCTACTAATGATGGATGTAGTGGTATTTTAGCCTCACTATGCCACGGTGGTCTAGCGGTCAGAACACTAGCCTTGTAAGCCTGGGGTCCCGGGTTCAATTCCCGGTGGTGCTCAAATTTATAACTTGTGTTGGGCAAGGCCGTGGTCTAGGCAACACGGAGTTTTCCTCCGGGGGCTTCTCCGGTTTCTCCGTGGCATCCCAACAATTACTCCACTCACACACAGAAGAAGGCAATGGCAAACCACTTCTGATCATCTGTGCCAAGAATGTATATGTGTATGAGCAGGTCCCTGACAACCTGAAGAGGTTGGAAGGATCCTGTTCATAATATATGGACCTGTCGTCAGACAGAACACTACAAATAAATAAAATGCTTTGTTAGTAGTTCAACTACTAACTTGGTGTTCTTCATCTGTTGATAGTCGTTCATCCAGTTAAGAAACAATAGTTTTGGGGGTGGGACCTGAAGGCTCAGTACCCATATTCACAGTAAATCTTACCATTGGATATATCTATCTTTAGCAGATGACACATTATCTCCAAATAGTCCAACCAAAATCCTATATTCCTCTTGATTTGTCTGTGCATTTTACCTGTCCCACTCACCTCCGCATGAAGCAAGCAGATTTGTGCAACACGATGGTCACCTGGTTCAAATCTAAGCCTGTTTACTGGTTATCATGAACTTCTGGCGGCTCACACAGTAGCGAAAGTTTTCTTAAGATATTTTATAGCGAGGTCGGAGTCGGTACATTTTTACCGACTCCGACTCCACAGCCCTGACTGTAGCACATTTCAAGGTTTGATTGTTCCAAATAAACTTGTTACTTTTGTAAGATTTGAAACTTTCATGGCAAATGAATGCTATAAAATCCTCTTGGACAATCAGCTGTGTCAGTGCGAAGTTAAAAACCAACATTTTGGGACTGGCTCTAGGTCAGTCGAGGACAACTCAGATGCTGGAGACAGAGTCAGTCTCTAAGGCAATGTCCTACGTAAGCGATAACAAGCGAGCTATGCGAGCTGCGTAAGTAGCATGGGGTGTCACTTATTATGTCCTAAGTGAGAGACTGCAATAGAAGCACACGGCCTTCCTGCGCATACACCTTCCGTGTACTGTGAGCCATGCCTCATGGCTCGAAGTGGCCTATCTCTCCTCTCGACGTTCTTTGGAGTCGCTGGTTTCGAGGCCCTGATGGGACAGCAGGGCAGTCAGTCTGTGTGTGTCTGCCGGGCAGAGAACGAGTCGAAGAGGGCGGGCTTGGAGAAAGATAGATCTTATTTTTTGTTTGACGTAGCTAGTTGTAACCCCGACCGGAGCCTGAGCCTTGGAACTTTGTTCTCCTTTCAATTTGTATATATATTTTTTTAAATACATGTTTGTAATTTGGGAGTGCTTTTATTTGTATTTGGGTTAACCCTTGTGATTATCCTATGTCGTACCACCTCCTGGCCTCTGGGATAATGTGGTTATAGTCATGAGAGCCGGCAGGGTTCAACTGCATGGTTAGAGCTTTCTTGCGCACGCGCCTTACTGGCCAGCGCAGCGACTCGCGTGAAAATATCAAAATATTTGATCTCAGACTTTGGCGGCTGACCGCTTCGCTGTAACCTAGGACAGCGCCACACAAACAGCCAGTTTGATATTTCCGCTTCACCCACGCAACTCGCACCGCTCGCATTTAATCGCTCACGTTGGGCACCGGGTAAAACTCTGGTTTATAACTCAGCAGTGACATGACTGATTGCCCAAGAGAATATTGTAGTACTGAGTGGTATTTGTTTATTGACTTCTTATTGGTGAGGGTAGGTAACAAGGCCATTATTTTTAGCAAAACTTCCATTACCTGTATTTCTTACTAGGCTGTTTGCTACAGTGTCTTGTGACCATATGATATAATTTCAATGTAATGAACACCAAGATGATGAAATTTCAGAATAATGAAGATATTGTTAATCCCCATTAAAATTACCATATACTCTTGTGGAAAAAAGACTTGTTCAGATCAACAACTTTTTTCTAAGTGTTACGTAGAATGTATTAACCCATCCTGAGCAAACTTTGTTCTGGTAATGCAGGTAGTATTTCAGAATTAAAAGAATACTGCTGTTTCTTTCAAATAATTTGTTGACCCTTCAAGCCCATCTGCCACAGTGAACACAATGGATCTTCCACATCACATGTTGGTGTCCATCATACTCGGTACATTTATATAACTTTCAACATCAGTTTTTCTGCCAACATTTTAGTAAATATATTGTGTTCTTGTGTGCTGAAAGATAAAATCGTAAGGTTTCTGTTTGTCATTAGATCATTATTTATTAACAAATAATGTCATATATCTCCCCAGTAGTTCTCACGACAAAGTTTTTAATCTCTGTCAAGAGTTTCAGTACGATCAATATGTGGTTATATATAGTAAAGAATTTTTTAACTTGGATCATACAAAGGTTTCAGGAATTGATACGTCTTCTCATTTGCATATGATCAATTAAAGGAGGACAAAACAGGGATATTACTGACACTAAGTATTTTACAGCTTGTCAGTCAGTGGTTTTTTTTTTGTCTCGGCCTTGTCTCAGTCACTATTTGAATAAAAATTTTCTTGGATATTATCCATTAGCTAGTAAAATAAAATATAAAACCACGTTTCAGAGATGGGGCTCTATCTCTGTCTTCAGGTACTTACTCAGTTGGGCCCAATAGATAGAGCTAATCCCTGTCTCCGAAATGTCATTTTATATATTTTATTTTACTAGACGATGGATAATATCCAAGAAAATTTTTATTCAAATGACTCACCATCGTCACCCACTTTTAGATTTCGGTCACTATTTGTTCGGAGAAATTATAATATTAATTAATCAAAGAATGTGTTCACACTCAGTGTGAACCCATACCACTGCCTGGGCCCCCATTCACTTCTTATGTTGATACCGTGGCTTTTACAAGTAGGAAAAGTTTCAAACCAGACAAAGATGTGAAACTTGTGGAAGACTGACGATTCCGATATAAGTTTTGTCAGTTCTGAAGTAGATAGGGATCATTTTGTTCATGATGTTTCTGTGGTTAATATGCTAGTGAATATTGATGACATACTAGTGGAAGTCCAATGGTTCATTTCACAGACCTTCCAACCATAAGAACAAGGGAATGCCCAGTGGTTTTCTGTGCTTCTGATTGAAAAACTAATTACTAAAACCAGAGGAATATGTTATAAAATTTTTATTGGGCTAGATGTTCAGTAGGATAATTGAACCGTTCTAAGGTTCAGGGCCTCAATGACCTCTGGCGGCCGGCACTTGAACTGTGTTTGGCTGGCCACGAGAAGGTGAAGTACCGCAAGACGATGATCCAGCTAGCATAATCCTCGATGTTCCCTTACGTCATTAGTAGCCAATTAGCGTTTCCTTCCCCCTCTTCTGTCTCAAGGCTCGGGAAGACGCGTGATTAGGATTGACCTGGCTTGGGTCTTTCTCTTTCCGGTTCGACCGTCATCATAAGCAGACGTGCGTTAGGCTTCGTTTGGCTTCAAAATTCTTGGTTCTCTATTTTCGGTTCAAAATTAAGTCTGATATGCTTATTACGATGGTCGACGGAATTTGCAGCTTGTGTATATAGTTTATTTTCTGGTGTGAGTTTTTTTTTAATGAGTAAATGGAAATTGTAAGTATCGTATACTTGTGATAGGGTGTGGCCCGGTTGTAACAAAGGGCTTCATCTTACTGTCGTGTATGTGTATCGTCATATAGGTTGACGGGTATTATTTTGTTTTTTTTTTCTTACGCATATTACTCTGTTGTGTGTGTAAATGGAAAAGAGTAATTGCGTGTTTTGTTGAATGTATCGTGTCTGCAGACTGTTGCATAAGGTAGTATGGGATGCCTCTGTGCGAGAGTAGCAGCGCGATAAGACGGGGGAAACACCGGTTTGATCACGAGCTACTGCGTAGTGGAACACGTGATCCAA